TCAAAGGAACATGTTTCAGACAGACTTGATACGCTTCTGAAGTCAGTTTTTCTATTCCTTCTGTAGGAATTGTATTACTTAGAACAGTTTCCCATGGAATGTTTGTAAGTTCCCTGTTTATTATCTCCCAATCTATCATTTTATTATTAAAATTGAATTTACTGAATAGCCCCTCTCGCTTTATCAACGTTTTAGGTCTATTCTGAGTATTGATGGTCGTTTGCACTTCAATGAGCTTGTGATCTGAGTATGTGGTATCTGATATCGTAATGTCTCTGATAATGTCTTCATTGTTCGTAAAGACCAGATCTAGAATATTTTCATTTTTCGTTGGCTCGGATATCTGCTGATTGAGTGAAAATTTGTCACAGAATCTAAGTAGTTCTCTAATCTGTGGTTGGTTAGGTCCCGATAGATTTCCTGGTATAATATTATTGTTTGCTATTTTCCACCTGAGACTAGGCAAGTTGAAGTCACCTAAGAAGATAATATAAGGTATCGGGTTCTCCAAATTATCAAGGCTATTCTCTATTTTGCTTATCTGTTCTGTGAATTCCTCAGCCGTTGCATCTGGCGGTTTGTATATTAGAATAATCACTAAATTTATTTTCTCTATTTTTACTCCCAGTACCTCTACCACCTCATTTGTAACGTTTAGGAGCTCCAAGCATACAAGGTCTTCCCTAATATACAGACCCACTCCTCCATGTGACCTAATTTTCCTATCACACCTGTATAGGTTATATCCTGGAATCCAGACATCACTATCCAAGAATTCCCCTGCATGGGTTTCTGTGAAAGCTCCAAATACTGCATTTGACTCCGTGAGGAGGCCATTTATGAACTGTACTTTGTTGTTTGTTCTTGTTTTTAGTCCTTGTATGTTGGCAAAGATGAATGAGGGTTACTCTTCTGTAATAGTTTGACTGCGAGACTTTTTTCGGCACGCCCATTATGCGTGGACATAATGAGTTTGTTCTGACCAGTACTGATTGTTGTAGGGCAGTTGTCTGTCGTAGTTGTAGTTCCATTTTGGTGTGTAATTGTATCTGTGATCCTGGTATGCAATTGGGTCTGGCATCCTGGGTTCAATCCCTGGGCAAGACAGAAATGATTGGGTGTGTTCCTTTCACCTGATGCAACTGTTCACAGAACACTAAAGTTGCTGTGAGTGGCAGCCTACGGAAGAGGTTAAGGGGGGGGGGGGGAGTTTCGCTAAGTACAGGCTTATTTTCCCCTCCGACACGGGGATTTATATAGCAATATAGGCCTACTCCAATGGGTCGATGCCGTGATAGGCTAGTATTATGAGGCTCCAGAGTTGATATCAGCATAGCACATAATGTCTTTTCCCAAGACAAAGTGTAGGCCTATTGGGTAACAACATTTTGGCGTTTAATGCAACGTTTTTTCAAACTTTTTTGTTTTACAGCGAAGCACATCAAGCACCGCATTTTGTATCGCGATCCAGTAGGCCTGTGTAATAAGCCTACTGACACTCAGAACATTTTTCCACAGACAAACTCTGATTTTCCTATATTTAAGAACAAGGAACAAAGAAGCTATCTTTCTATATTTACTACTGACACATAATCAATGCATATTTATGAATGGAAACTATTAAATTAAATTACAATTTATGTTTTTTAAAAAAATGTAGAAAAATACAAACGAAGGAAAAAAAACAGTGCCAATTTCAGGACAAAAAATAATTAATGAGAAGGATGTGTTTCTTTGTGTCTAAGTAGTTGATACCTGGTTGATGGGGTTCTGGGAGTTCTTCTACTCCCCAAACCCGGCCCGAGGCCAGGCTTGACTTGTGAGAGTTTGGTCCACCAGGCTGTTGCTTGGAGCGGCCCGCAGGCCCTCATACCCACCACAGCCCGGTTGGTCCACCAGGCTGTTGCTTGGAGCGGCCCGCAGGCCCACATACCCACCACAGCCTGGTTGGTCCACCAGGCTGTTGCTTGGAGCGGCCCGCAGGCCCCCATACCCACCACAGCCCGGTTGGTCCACCAGGCTGATGCTTGGAGCGGCCCGCAGGCCCACATACCCACCATAGCCTGGTTGGTCCACCAGGCTGTTGCTTGGAGCAGCCCGCAGGCCCACATACCCACCACAGCCAGGTTGGTCCACCAGGCTGTTGCTTGGAGCAGCCCGCAGGCCCACATACCCACCACAGCCCGGTTGGTCCACCAGGCTGTTGCTGGGAGCGGCCCGCAGGGCCACATACCCACCACAGCCCGGTTGGTCCACCAGGCTGTTGCTTGGAGCGGCCCGCAGGCCCACATACCCACCACAGCCCGGTTGGTCCACCAGGCTGTTGCTTGGAGCGGCCCGTAGGCCCACATACCCACCACAGCCCGGTTGGTCCACCAGGCTGTTGCTTGGAGCGTCCCGCAGGCTCACATACCCACCACAGCCCGGTTGGTCCACCAGGCTGTTGCTTGGAGCGTCCCGCAGGCTCACATACCCACCACAGCCCGGTTGGTCCACCAGGCTGTTGCTTGGAGCGTCCTGCAGGCTCACATACCCACCACAGCCAGGTTGGTCCACCAGGCTGTTGCTTGGAGCGGCCCGCAGGCCCACATACCCACCACAGCCCGGTTGGTCCACCAGGCTGTTGCTTGGAGCGACACGCAGGTCCACATACCCACCACAGCCCGGTTGGTCCACCAGGCTGTTGCTTGGAGCGGCCCGCAGGCCCACGTACCCACCATATTCCAATTTGAAACACAATAAGACTTCTTTAGGCCTATCTGGTGCAACATTGAGCTTGTGTATATCTTCCGAAAATCCTAGTTGCCACAAACTACTAGTATTAAAATTATCACGATAGCCTTTGTCCTTAAAAATGTTTAATTCCCCTTCAACCAATCCAACATATTGATGACAACTTTAGTTGCTCATTTAACCCAATTATTGATTCAGGGACAATAATGAATAGTTTCCTACCTACCTTGAGGCTACCTTGAGGTGCTTCCGGGGCTTAGTGTCCCCGCGGCCCGGTCGTCGACCAGGCCTCCTGGTTGCTGGACTGATCAACCAGGCTGTTAGACGCGGCTGCTCGCAGCCTGACGTATGAGTCACAGCCTGGTTGATCAGGTATCCTTTGGAGGTGCTTATCCAGTTCTCTCTTGAACACTGTGAGGGGTTTGCCAGTTATGCCCCTTATGTGTAGTGGAAGCGTGTTGAACAGTCTCGGGCCTCTGATGTTGATAGAGTTCTCTCTCAGAGTACCTGTTGCACCTCTGCTTTTCAACGGGGGTATTCTGCACATCCTGCCATGTCTTCTGGTCTCATGTGGTGTTATTTCTGTGTGCAGGTTTGGGACCAGCCCCTCTAATATTTTCCACCAACAATTTTCCTAGCAACAAGTGGTGGACCAACCAGGCTGTGGTGGGTATGTGGGGCCTGCGGGCCGCTCCAAGCAACAGCCTGGTGGACCAACCGGGCTGTGGTGGGTATGTGGGGCCTGCGGGCCGCTCCAAGCAACAGCCTGGTGGACCAACCGGGCTGTGGTGGGTATGTGGGCCTGCGGGCCGCGCCAAGCAACAGCCTGGTGGACCAACCAGGCTGTGGTGGGTATGTGGGCCTGCGGGCCGCTCCCAGCAACAGCCTGGTGGACTAAGTTACCACCAAGCTCGGGGAATCCCAGGACCTTATCCACAGCGTTGGAAATCAAATGGATTTCTTATCCAAATGCTTTTCTTTACTGTTTCAAATTTCTGCTGGGAAAGTACTGTATACTTAATACAAGAATACAGCGGTGTAGTCTAAAACATGGCCCCAGAGTAAACTCACATGGCCCCAGAGTAAACTCACATGGCCCCAGAGTAACCTCACATGGCCCCAGAGTAAACTCACATGGCCCCAGAATAAACTCTCATGGCCCCAGAGTAAACTCACATGGCCCCAGAATAAACTCTCATGGCCCCAGAGTAAACTCGCATGGCCCCAGAGTTAACTCACATGGCCCCAGAGTAAACTCACATGGTCCCAGAGTAAACTCACATGGCCCCAGAGTAAACTCACATGGCCCCAGAGTAAACTCACATGGCCCCAGAGTAAACTCACATGGCCCCAGAGTAAACTAACATGGCCCCAGAATAAACTCTCATGGCCCCAGAGTTAACTCGCATGGCCCCAGAGTAAACTCGCATGGCCCCAGAGTTAACTCACATGGCCCCAGAGTAAACTCACATGGCCCCAGAGTAAATTCAGTATACGTATACTGGTAAACAGGGAACGCCGGTGTCTTAGTTGATAATCTAAGATAACTTAATAGTCTACGACTTGATAGCTTAAGTTTGTACCATAGCCTTGCATTTTTTTTTAATTTTACGATATCCTAACTGTCCAATTTGTATGATAGCCTAACTGTCCAATTTGTATGATAGCCTAACTGTCCAATTTGTATGATAGCCGAACTGTCCAATTTGTATGATAGCCTAACTGTCCAATTTGTATGATAGCCTAACCGTCCAATTTGTATGTTTGTTTTATCTACCCCAAACAGCCTGCATGTTCGAACCCAAACCAGCTCAATTAACCTGAAAATCGAACATTTCCAAAATGCCAACCACTTGGGCTGGACGGTAGAGCGACAGTCTCGCTTCCTGCAGGTCGGAGTTCAATCCCCGACCGTCCAAGTGGTTGGGCGGACGCTGGCTGGCCGGGCTGGACGCTGGCAGGCCGGGCTGGACGCTGGCAGGCCGGGGCGGACGCTGGCAGGCCGTGGCGGACGCTGGCAGGCCGGGCTGGACGCTGGCAGGCCGGGCTGGACGCTGGCAGGCCGTGGCGGACGCTGGCAGGCCGTGGCGGACGCTGGCAGGCCGGGCTGGACGCTGGCAGGCCGTGGCGGACGCTGGCAGGCCGTGGCGGACGCTGGCAGGCCGGGCTGGACGCTGGCAGGCCGGGGCGGACGCTGGCAGGCCGTGGCGGACGCTGGCAGGCCGGGCTGGACGCTGGCAGGCCGGGGCGGACGCTGGCAGGCCGGGATGGACGCTGGCAGGCCGGGGTGGACGCTGGCAGGCCGGGGTGGACGCTGGCAGGCCGGGGTGGACGCTGGCAGGCCGGGGTGGACGCTGGCAGGCCGGAACGGACGCTGGCAGGCCGTGGCGGACGCTGGCAGGCCGGAACGGACGCTGGCAGGCCGTGGCGGACGCTGGCAGGCCGGGGCGGACGCTGGCAGGCCGGGGCGGACGCTGGCAGGCCGGGGTGGACGCCAGCAGGCCGGGGCGGACGCTGGCAGGCCGGGGCGGACGCTGGCAGGCCGTGGCGGACGCTGGCATGCCGTGGCGGACGCTAGCAGGCCGTGGCGGGGGCTGGCAGGCCGTGGTGGACGCTGGCAGGCCGGGGCGGACGCTGGCAGGCCGGGGCGGACGCTGGCAGGCCGTGGTGGACGCTGGCAGGCCGGGGCGGGGGCTGGCAGGCCGTGGTGGACGCTGGCAGGCCGTGGTGGACGCTGGCAGGCCGGAACGGACGCTGGCAGGCCGGGGTGGACGCTGGCAGGCCGGGGCGGGTGCTGGCAGGCCGGGGTGGACGCTGGCAGGCCGGGGCGGACGCTGGCAGGCCGGGGTGGACGCTGGCAGGCCGGGGCGGACGCTGGCAGGCCGGGGTGGACGCTGGCAGGCCGGGGTGGACGCTGGCAGGCCGGGGCGGCGGCTGGCAGGCCGGGGTGGACGCTGGCTGGCCGGGGCGGACGCTGGCAGGCCGGGGCGGACGCTAGCAGGCCGGGGCGGACGCTGGCAGGCCGGGGCGGACGCTGGCAGGCCGGGGCGAACGCTAGCAGGCCGGGGCGGGCGCTAGCAGGCCGGGGTGGACGCTGGCTGGCCGGGGCGGACGCTGGCAGGCCGGGGCGGATGCTGGCAGGCCGGGGCGGACGCTGGCAGGCCGGGGCGGACGCTGGCAGGCCGGGGCGGACGCTAGCAGGCCGGGGCGGGGCTGGCAGGCCGGGGCGGACGCTAGCAGGCCGTGGCGGACGCTGGCAGGCCGGGGTGGATGCTGGCACGCCGGGGCGGACGCTAGCAGGCCGGGGCGGGGGCTGGCAGGCCGGGGCGGACGCTGGCAGGCCGGGGCGGACGCTAGCAGACCGGGGCGGGGGCTGGCAGGCCGGGGCGAACGCTGGCAGGCCGGGGCGGACGCTGGCAGGCCGGGGCGGACGCTGGCAGGCCGGGGCGCACGCTGGCAGGCCGGGGCGGACGCTGGCAGGCCGGGGCGGACGCTGGCAGGCCGGGGCGGACGCTGGCAGGCCGGGGCGGACGCTGGCAGGCCGGGGCGGACGCTGGCAGGCCGGGGCGGACGCTAGCAGGCCGGGGCGGGGGCTGGCAGGCCGGGGCGGACGCTAGCAGGCCGTGGCGGACGCTGGCAGGCCGGGGCCGACGCTGGCAGGCTGGGGCGGGGGCTGGCAGGCCGGGGCGGACGCTGGCAGGCCGGGGTGGATGCTGGCAGGCCGTGGCGGACGCTGGCAGGCTGGGGCGGACGCTGGCAGGCCGGGGCGGACGCTAGCAGGCCGGGGCGGGGGCTGGCAGGCCGGGGCGGACGCTAGCAGGCCGTGGCGGACGCTGGCAGGCCGGGGCCGACGCTGGCAGGCTGGGGCGGGGGCTGGCAGGCCGGGGCGGACGCTGGCAGGCCGGGGTGGATGCTGGCAGGCCGTGGCGGACGCTGGCAGGCTGGGGCGGACGCTGGCAGGCCGGGGCGGACGCTAGCAGGCCGGGGCGGGGGCTGGCAGGCCGGGGCGGACGCTAGCAGGCCGTGGCGGACGCTGGCAGGCCGGGGTGGATGCTGGCAGGCCGTGGCGGACGCTGGCAGGCCGGGGTGGACGCTGGCAGGCCGGGGCGGACGCTGGCAGGCTGGGGCGGACGCTGGCAGGCCGGGGCGGACGCTAGCAGGCCGGGGCGGGGGCTGGCAGGCCGGGGCGGACGCTAGCAGGCCGTGGCGGACGCTGGCAGGCCGGGGTGGATGCTGGCAGGCCGTGGCGGACGCTGGCAGGCTGGGGCGGGGGCTGGCAGGCCGGGGCGGACGCTGGCAGGCCGGGGTGGACGCTGGCAGGCCGGGGCGGACGCTGGCAGGCCGGGGCGGACGCTGGCAGGCCGGGGCGGACGCTGGCAGGCCGGGGCGGACGCTGGCAGGCCGGGGCGGACGCTGGCAGGCTGGGGCGGGGGCTGGCAGGCCGGGGCGGACGCTGGCAGGCCGGGGTGGACGCTGGCAGGCCGGGGCGGACGCTGGCAGGCCTGTTCTATCTGGTGTCAATCCCTTGAGCACACCCATAAACCAGGGGTTTCAATTTTCAATTTTAAATGAATAAATATTTCGTGTGAGCAAAATTTGCTACCAGGCTAGCCTCACCCCCCCCCCCCACCATCATCCAAACACTCCATTAATTTAAGTAAATTTACAAACTGCGATGCAATTTTTAGTCAATATATTGTATAAACCTACAATACCGATCAATAATGAAAAATAAAAGCCTATGCCTTGATGCCGGTGAAAGAGGCACCAGCGACAACTCATATATCACCTGTCATTTTTACACTTCGTCAAGAACTATAAAAAATCCACTATAGCAGACCCTTAACATTTTTTTGGAGCTGTAGCCTATATACTGGTGTTATCCCCCGGTATACTTGAATCGGCAGAGATAACACCTCTCCATAAAGGAGGTAATAAAGCTAATAAAGGTAATAAAAAAAATTATAGACCGATAGCACTAACATCACATATCATCAAAATCTTTGAAAGAATGCTAAGCAGTAAGATCACAAAACCCATGATATCTCAGTATGTACATAACCCTGGACAACATGGGTTCAGAACAAGGCACGATTGCCTCACAGTTTGCTAGATCACTCTGACATGGCCTGAGTTGTCATGGAAGACAAGCAAACCACTGATGTAATATCCTGTGAAAAGGTTCGAGTCTCCTAGAGTGTAACACCGCTCTATTGTAACACCTCTCTAATGCACCACTACCATAATGTGTCACCACTATAATGGAACACTAAACTAATAATGTAAACACTACTTATCCTGAGTAACACTTCCCCATTGGTTGCACTTGGTAACACTGTTATGGACTGACATATGATGGTTACACCGGGACTACAAAGTACACTGCCAACAAGGAGATGCTAACACAGGATGAAATACGCTGCCACCATCTGCCTTTGACCATTGAGACTATATCAAGCAACCAGGCAAGAAACATTGCTTGACTTGGAGAGTACTTTCTATGACTGTCATTAATTATGGAAACGGTTATCAGCCACTATATCCAAAAGGCTAAGAGGATTCAACAATTGACACAGACGGGAAATTTAACATGAGTTTTATTGAGACCAAAATTATGTCAATCACCACTTATAAATCCTACTCTAACACTGGCAAAAAGTTAAGAAATTTGGACATGGAACAAAAACTCAGAGATCACACACATTACCTTAAAACCTGTCTCTCCCTGGCTGAGATGTTCTTCACAGCCCTCTCTGGACCCCGGTGTCCGGCACTCTGCGTTCCCTAAGTCCCTACAGGACCTCTATATACAACCCCCACAGGGGGAGGGGGAGATCTGCTGTTGCTACCCACCAAGAATGTACAAACACTCAAGAAATATTTCAATAAGCTTGTTTGACATTCACCATACACTCTTCAAGAGAGGAGTTATTAATTACGTGTGTGACTGACCTCTGACCTGGCCAAAAGGGGGAGATCCAAGGATGTTTACACATAAGAATCTGGAGTCTAATTCCCTTGCATGAAATATTACATACTTGAAACTATGCTGACTAAGACTAACCCAGGAATTTTTTTAATCAACATACAAGATAAACCGGAGGTCATCTGGGCTGACCTCTTGGAGAAGGCTTCCCTGGGTGTGAACTCTAAGGGGGGGGGGGAGGTCCTGGGTGTTACAACAGTACAGTCCCTCAGGGTACTGTGTTTGTTCCAGTACAGTCCCCCAGGGTACTGTGCTTGTTCCAGCACAGTCCCTCAGGGTACTGTGTTTGTTCCAGTACAGTCCCCCAGGGTACTGTGCTTGCTCCAGTACAGTCCCCCAGGGTACTGTGCTTGCTCCAGTACTTTTTCTCATCCTCATATCGGACATAGACAAGGACACAACCTATAGTATTGTATCATCCTTTACAGATCACACTAGGATCTTCATGAGAGTTGGCAACATAGAGGACACGGCAAACCTCCAATCAGACGTAAATCAATCACAGAAAATAATATGATGTTTATTGAAAATAAATTCCATTTCCTCGCCATGGGAAGAAAAACAAAACTATAAAAACGGAAACCACATATAAAACGCAGTCAAATTATACGACAGAACGAAAAAGCAATGTTAAAGATCTGGAAGTAATCATAGCGGAAGACTATATTTCAAGAACACAACAATGCAGCTGTTACAACTGCAAGAAAAAATGACAGGTTGGATAACAAGAACCTTTCAAACACGGGATGCCAGTGATGATACTTTTCAAGACACTAGTGCTCTCTAGAGTGGAGTACTGCTGCACAATGACAGCCTCGTTTAGGGCTGGAAAAATTGCTGACCTGGAGAGTTAGCAGAGATCCTTTACTGATAGAATCCACTCAATTAAATATCTAAATTATTGGGACGGATTAAATTCCAAAAGTTTATATTCACTAGAACGCAGGAAGAAGACACATAACATTAGAAGGGGCTGGTCCCAAACCTGCACACAGAAATAACATCACATGAGACCAGAAGACATGGCAGGATGTGCAGAATACCCCCGTTGAAAAGCAGAGGTGCAACAGGTACTCTGAGAGAGAACTCTATCAACATCAGAGGCCCGAGACTGTTCAACACGCTTCCACTACACATAAGGGACATAACTGGCCGACCCCTCACAGTGTTCAAGAGAGAACTATCAACATCAGAGGCCCGAGACTGTTCAACACGCTTCCACTACACATAAGGGACATAACTGGCCGACCCCTCACAGTGTTCAAGAGAGAACTATCAACATCAGAGGCCCGAAACTGTTCACCACGCTTCCACTACACATAAGGGGCATAACTGGCCGACCCCTCACAGTGTTCAAGAGAGAACTATCAACATCTGAGGCCCGAGACTATTCAACACGCTTTCACTACATATAAGGGACATAACTGGCCGACCCCTCACAGTGTTCAAGAGAGAACTATCAACATCAGAGGCCCGAGACTGTTCAACACGCTTCCACTACACATAAGGTACATAACTGGCCGACCCCTCACAGTGTTCAAGAGAGAACTTGATAAACACCTCCAAAGGATACCTGATCAACCAGGCTGTGACTCATACGTCAGGCTGCGAGCAGCCGCGTCCAACAGCCTGGTTGACCAGACCACAAACCAGGAGGCCTGGTCAGAGATCGGGCCGCGGGGACGTTCAATCACCGCAAGATAGCCGCATGATAACCGCAACGAAGATGGGTTGTACACAATTATTTTTAGCAAGCTTCGACTGGCAGATTTTTCGGAAGGCAGAAAATGAAATAAAAAATAACTGAGAGGCTTCAGGAAGTCAAATCAATACAGTAGGCCTATATGTAACTGACATTACAATACCCATCAAACTTCTTAGGAGAATGTATTTTAATTTTCGCTTTCCTAGTGTGCACTGAGAAATGGAAGACTTGAAAAATGATTTTATAATTTAGTTTACTGTAGTTTAAGGTCAACAGCCAGACAGGAAGTACATTTTGCACTCGGTTACAGGCAGAAATTCCTCGTCAGAACTCACCTTGCATTTACACAACCACTGACGAAACCTGTTTACACACAATTCAACAGTTTACAGGCTTGGAAACTTCCACAACTCAAGGTTGTTATTGGCATTAACAACCTCATAGGGCATTCAAACTTGTCAATTGTTTATTAAATATAAACAATGCCAACATGATTGTGAGGGGGGGGGGGGAAGATGTAGATGTTTCGTAAGAGTTTGCGAACATGATTCATACATCTACGTTCCTGCTCTCACTACCAAGTTACTGCAAACAAATGGCATTGAATAACAAACAATTAGGCTACTGACACTGAACGTAACAACTGACTTTCAATTGCAGGAATGGCAATGAATTAGACGCCTGACATTGAAATAGATGACTGACATTGAAATAGATGACTGACATTGAAATAGATGACTGACATTGAATTAGATGACTGACATTGAAATAGATGACTGACATTGAAATAGACAACTGACATTGAATTAGACGAATGACATTGAATTAGACGCCTGACATTGAAATAGACGCCTGAAATTTAATTAAACGAATGACATTGAATTAGACGACTGACATTGAATTAGACGACTGACATTGAATTAGACATTGAAATAGATAGACTGACATTGAATTAGACAACTGACATTGAATTAGACGACTGACATTGAATTAGACGACTGACATTGAAATAGACGACTGACATTGACTTAGACGACTGACATTGAATTAGACGCCCGACATTGACTTAGACGCCTGACATTGAATTTCTAATATTCAATGTCAAATTCGTGTCATCTGCAAATTATTCAATAGGTAATCTGAGTCCCGGTCCGTCCTTCAACCCCGTTTGGGAGAAGAATGTAAACTTTGAACGTTTGGGAGAAGAATGTTAACTTTTTGAACGTTTGGGAGAATATAAACTTTTGAACGTTTGGGAGAAAAATGTCAATTTCTGAAGATTTGGAAGAATAATGTGAACTTTTGAACACAAAATCTACGAATCATTGAACAGACTCAAGATTCAAAATTGCGATTCAATGGACCATCACCCATTGATCCCCCAAACCAGCCCAAGGTTAACCAATCATTAACGTAGGCCTATACTGCCACATTCCTAATTCACTCTGAAATATCTTATAGGCCTGAAAATGCTGCCAATATCAACCTTCTTGCTCAAGCCACGTGTCAGAGCACGCTATATATGTGAGGCCAAGTCACATGTGAACACGCCACATGTGAGTTCAAGCCACATGTGAGTCACGTGTGTGGAGACGATATGTGTGGACACTCCACGTGTGAGATGCCACATGTGAGTTGACGCCACATGTGAGGAGACGCCACATGTGAGTTGACGCCACATGCGAGGAGACACCACATGTCACTAGACTCCAAAGTCAGATGTGAGGGAACGTCGACAGTCACATGTCAAGCGACGCTACAAGCCAAGCGACGCCGCAAGCCACATGTGTAGAAGAAACTCTCACCACACACACACATATATATGAGTCGCTGTTTTCAACTTACCGAAAGTGAAGCAGCAGGCTGGAAGACAGGTGGCCACGAT